TGCTCTGTGTGTGACAGGGTAGAGCCATAACCTCTCCATCGGCCCTGCCCCAACCCCCTGATCGGCCCTGCTCTGTGGGTGATAGAGGGTGGTGCCCCAACCCCCCTCCACGGGCCTTGCTCTGTGTGTGACAGGGTAGAGCCATAACCTCCCCATTGACCCTGCCCTGAGTGTGACAGGGTGCAGCACCCCAACCCCCTGATCCGCCCTGCTCTGTGTGTGACAGGGGGTGGTGCCCCAACTCCCCTATCGGTCCTACTCTGTGAGTGACAGCGGGGAACTCCTCAACCCCCTGATCGGCCCTGCTCTGTGCGTGACAGGGTACGGAGCCCCAACACCCCTGATGGGCCCTGCTCTGTGAGTGACAGGGGGTGGCGCCGCAACCTCCCCATCGACCCTGCCTTGAGTGTGACAGGGGGAGGTGCCCCAACCCCCCAATCGGCCCTACCCTGAGCGTGACTGAGGGTGGCATTGCAACCTCCCAATCCACCCTGCTCTGTGCATGACGGGGCGGTGCCCCAACTCCCCAATCAGCCCTGCTCTGAGCCTGACCAGGGGCTGCACTTAGGAATTGGGCCTGCCCTCTGCCACCCAGAAGCAGGCCTAAGCCAGCAGGTCGTTATCTCCCGAGGGGTCCCAGACTGCGAGAGGGCACAGGCCGGGCTGGGGGACCCTCCCTCCCCTGCCCCCCGAGTGCACAAATTTTTGTGCACCGGGCCTCTAGTCCTATATAATAAAGAGCTACTATGCTAATGGTCATGACACCCTCACGCCGTAACGACCATTCAGCAGGAGGTTGTGTGTGCCGCAGGGCAGAGCTGCTGCGTTGCTCCAGAGATGGGGCAGAAGCGGGAGGCACCTGGAGGAGGCGGGACCATCCCATGGCGGGGAGGGCAGGGGTGAGAGCCCGTAGTTCCCTCCTCACCAGCCCTTAGCTACCCACCGCTTGCACTCAGCATGCCACCGCCTACCTGCCAGGGGAAGGAGCACAGTGTGCGCGCTGCCAGGAAGTGGCGCTCAAAACTCCAGAGTAGGCGGGAGGCTTCCACACACTCCTCCAGTGCCATGACAGGGCGGAGCCGCCGCATTGCTCCAGAGACAGGGCGGAAGTGGGGAGGCACCGGAGGAGGTGGGACCAGCCCGAGGTGACTCGTGGGACCGAGGGTGGGGCTTGAAGCAGCTAGAGAAGGCTGGAGGGGTTGGGGGCGGGGCCAGGAGCGCTCAAGCTCTGGGTGGAGAGGTTAGGGTGTAAAGGTGGGGCAGCGTGCAGGTGAGCGGGGCTGCACAATTTCACGCACCGGGTCACTAGTTTTAATATATATTTTTTTATATTTGATAATGACTGTTTAACTGTGTTATTTAGATTAACTGTATTACCAATAATTATAAGTCATTCCAGAAGACATTTTTAACACTTAGGCCTTTATGTTATAGATTTATACTTTATCAATTTGCATAGATATTTTTGTAGAGAAGTTCTATGTAATAAAAGTATAATATGCAAATCAACCAAATGGCAGAATGACCAGTCAACGCAGGGTGGACCAGCGAGCAAGCAGCGCCAGGCCAGCTAAGGCGCGTGCTAGTGGGCAGAGGGAGGGGATGGTGATGGGATGTGGCGGCAGCCAGCTACCACAGAGGGGTGGTGGGGGGTGGCCAGCTCGCCGGTTGGTGCTGTCCCCTGATCGGCCCATCTGGTAGCCTCCCACAGAGGGAGGCCAGACTGAGGCTTAGGCCCTCTCCAGGAGCAGGCTTAAGCTGTCAGTTGGACATCCCCTGAGGACTTCTAGACTGTGAGAGGGCACAGGCTGGGCTGAGGGACCTCCCCCCAAGTGCACGAATTTTCGTGCGCTGGGCCTCTGGTAATACGATAAAAAATT